ATCAAAACAACAATCAATGACACAGAGCGAAAACGTGTATTGAATTCAAACACATTGCAGCACTAAGAATTATTCGCATTTTTAACTTTTTGAGTATATACACTACCTGGTACAATTAGGTCTTTACGGTACAAGTGCTTCTTTAAACTAATGGCGGATTAAGTGTTCGCGGAAAAGAGGAGAACGACTTTCTCTCGGGTAATGAATTGTATGTAAATATCCTGAAAACAATTTGCAATTTTTTTTTTCCCTTAAACACTATCGAGTACTTTAAATATTTGTAAAAAATAGTTTCGGTTGAAAATCTAACTCTAAATATATATATATATATGTATACAGAAAGATTGAATGTATTTGCGATCGCACTGAAAAAATACACTAAATTTTCTCTCTTACAATTACAACAAAAATCGACGTAAATAAAATTTTATACTTTACAAATTTTTATTATAGAAACAAAAATAGTCTGAAAAATTTTTTTTTAATTATAACGAGACAGGTATATTACATTATTATTATTATATTTTCGATAGAATGATAATTTATTTTTTCTAAACTTTCAGGATTTAGAAAAAATTATCATGACATAAAAAATGATATGTTTTATACAATCAAGAGTAACATCTTTTTATTAGAAATTTTTGTATGTATTAACAAGGATATATAAAACTTCACTGCTTTGTTACGACTTTAGCTGAATAACAGAAAAAAAATTTAGCAATCGACAATAAATAACATTTTTGAAAAAATAACCACAGTATAACCAAGCTGTAACAAACAAACACAGCTGCATTATTAAATTTCAATGTGATGCACATGTCAATAAAAATAGTTTAGCTTCACAAAGTCGTAAAATAAACTGGTATTTATAAAAATATAATATATAAATTCAATTATTAATGAAATTTAAACAAAATAAAATCAATCTTTCGAAAGAAAAAGTATACGTCAATTTTTTAAATTGTTATTACATTGAAGTCTCTCTCTATAAAGACTGTTCATTAATAAATGCTTCTCATCATAAAATGAGAATTTTAAGTTTAAACTTTATATGTCTATTTCAAAGGATTAGATTAATGTTCGAAATTTTCTAATACTTTGCGAGAAAAAAAATGTCAATAGGACAGAAATGAGTATACAAAATCGGTGGCAGAGAAAACGATGCAATTCTACGTGTCTCCTCGGTGTCTCTTCGAATACTCTTTCCCACGTCTCTCGTTTCTCTCTCTCTCTCTCTCTCTCTCTCTCTCTCTCTCTCTCTCTCCTCTCACAAGAAGAGACATTTGGCACAGACCATTACCCCAGTCCCGGGTGCCATCGGCCATCAGCAGCGCGTTAAAGCCGCTGCAATTACAAACTCCGACAGTCTCATCCCCTTTATTCCATCTCGCGCTCCTTCGTTCTCCTTTCGCTGTTCGTTCCCACATCACCCCTGCGTTCCTTCCACTCTTTCTCTCATTTTCCCTTTTCGATCCCTCGTTCATTTCTCTCGCTTTCTCACTCGCTTGTGCCTCGCCGCTCACCGGCCCCATTTACATTTGCCCGCTACTCTCGTAAAAGTAACTTTGTAACCCGTGCGGGCAGTATCCGAGCCAGGATTCCGTCCTCTATTCCGGGGAAATTACACGTCGGTCGGCACCGCAGGCTCGAAAGAAGATTTCCCTTATCAAGCGCGTTGCTTCCTTCTACCATCCCGACCGTCCTCTACCGCATACTGGATGTCCACTTACACCCAGCAATCAACCCCTTCCGCGTAAAATGACACGCACACAAGAAACACACACGTTTTAGAGACGTATTGTTAATTCTATGTCTCACGTAGCTAATATCCTTTATGAAAGTGTTGCAGACGAAAATAAAAAAATGTGACTAACACAAAAAATTCAAGTGACGCTACAATAAAACGTAACGTACAAGATACATTATGTTTATACGATTTTGCTGATAATAAAATAATTTGTACTGTATTTATTTTTTAAACATTTTATAAAATATAAAATGAAACATTAACAGTAAGTTGTTTTATAATTTAAGAGTGTAACATAATAACTTTATATATGTTTTTCAGCCTAAAAAATAATATTCAGCCTAAAAAATAATACAAATTACTGAAGATTTGCGATTATTCATTGCGAAGTTACATTCCATTATATTAATGTGTTATTTCAATTCTTGACTAAAATCTTTAACTGGGACAATCACATCGATTTTCGATAAGCTTGAAAAGCTGTACATTGAATATTTTGAAATATTGGGAGATAGCAATAAAAAAATTGTAGAGATACGTCATACTTAAATGAGCGAAGAAGTTTGAATGTCCCAGCGTGCATCAGATAGAGTGCTTCGTGAAATCGTTCAAAAAGTATTGGAATGGTTGCATGATCGCAATGTTTACTCGTACCTCTCGAACGCGACGTATCAACCACTCTGAAAAGTCGGAAATTTCTGGTATTCGGTGAAATTGTCGCATCGCAAATGTCCCATCGATATTCTATGACCGCTTAGAGCGATTAAATCATTGCGTACAACTACCAGCACCGACGTGGATTTTTCAGGTCAATTTACAGAGCAGTTAATCGCAGATGAGCATGTATAGAATCAATGTTGGCGCGTGTAATAAATCATTTACATGTGCGAACAAGAAACAACATGTTTTAAAAGTAAACTTCTTCGCCAGATTATTTTTTAATCCGAGGCAATTAAGAGATGCACTCATAAAATATATCTATAAAAATACTCTGCCAAACGCAAAACTCTCTATCAGAAAAAAATTTTTAACGTAACGATACTGATAACTAATCAATGAAATATTTCATTTTTATTTATCCAATATTATATTTTTATTCTTCCAATATTTATCGTATATATAGGTAGGACTCTTGCCATTAAAATATCACAATCCATTCCTTATATTTCTTTCCATATATATATAGTGCAACCGTAGAGAGTTTATTCTTTCTGTACATAATAGATTCTATTTTCTTGTATATAATATTTATATTTTTGATACAAAATTCTGTGGATTGAAATCTGTGTCGCATTTCTGTACACTGAACACGTTTATCCATCTATAAAACGAACCACCAGATTTTTCTAAGAACAGGCATGAGACGACGATTATTATTCCGTCCCAGAAGATCACCTTTAATCGATGATTTATCTGCGGGTTCTCGCGAGGTCAAGCAGATAACCGCTTTAGCTTTTGTGCTTCTTTCGCACCAATATTCCACGATAGTCACGGCTGCCGTTTCATCGGACATCGTGGAAATCTCTCTTTAAGTCTGGCGGCTCAGGCATTTAACCCCCCGGTAATGGTAACGGTGTCAGTGATCGGCAAATCGATATAGTATATCGAAAACGCCGAGGCTACACTGAGATCATTGCGGTTCGATTGCTCGACTAGGTCCAGCAAGTAATACGGTAGTGCCGCAGGGATTATGGACAGAGAGAATTTATAGAACCCGAAAACATTCGTGTTCTCAGCAAACTAGACGCTGAATACTTGCACGCATGTTGCACATAAATACATACATATGTATATATATATATACTATATATATATATATACTATATATATATATACACACACACACACACACACATACACGTGAGGAACATGTATGTAAATATATAGGAATATGTTATGTACATTAGCCCTCTTTCATTAGGGATCTTTTATCAGATATATAATCAAGTCGCTACGTTCGTATCAATATTTCGGAGAACGTCAGAAATATTCGCGAAAAATGCACTAGTAATTAAAGTCAGCAAAAAAATACGATCGTATTACATATACTACATTATGATGTAAAGACGATGTTGCACTGTGCAACAATATCAGCAAAAAAAGCTTGAACTTTTATCCTTAAAAATAATGAAAAAATAATTTGAGGATGAAAATGGAAAAAATAACGGACAGATGTCATATCATATAATAATAACATAGCTTTAGGACATATATGGAATACGTGCAAAGAGATATTATCTGACCTTTTACCTTATTCCGTGAGAACTGCATCTTTGCACCTCCGTAACCTCGGCACGCGAATCGAATCTAAGAAAGCCCACCAACGGCTGAAACTCATGAAACTGCCGGCGAAGTTTTAGTTGGATTAGTAACTTAGTGCGTGCTTATTGTCTTAACGAGTATCTATAATATTTCCGGGAACGTGATCTTCGCGGTTGTTCCAAGGATGAGGGTAAACCACATGCACTAGCCACTTGGCTAATTGTGTTGCATTAAATATTCAAGCAAACAGCAAGATACAACGCACCGCTGTAATTTGTGTAGTAATTTAACATACTGTTTTACGATACACCTATACGAAAATAATAGAATGTCAGCGGACATTTAATATAATATTGATTCGTTCAAAACATATATATAAAATAAATAAATGAAAAATTGTTTCTTTTTAACAAAAGCTTGCTTTATTTATGGCTTCATTAACGATGCTAATAGCAATACTTTACACTGTACAATTGTTGCAATTTAAAAAGCGATAATAGATCAAAATGGAGCCGAATGGAATGGAGTAGTATAAAGGAAGACGAGGAAAGATCGCAGCAGCTAGTCGGCCAGTAGCAAGGGTAGTTGGTGAAATCGTAGGATACCGGCTCTACGCGTCACTACGCTGTCAGAGGACGCAAGCGCGCTCGTGCCCCTTATCGAGTTCGAGAGCAAAAGCGACGGTAGTGGTGGCGATGGCGGTGGTTGTAGTAGTGGTGTTAGTGCTGTATATGCTATATACCGGTATATAGGGGGAAGATACGGCGGAAGGGTGGAATGGTTGTAGGTGGCGGCACACAACCGAGTTCGGAGACAGAGGGGGATCGGCGTTGAGGGTGAGAGCGCGGTGAGAGGGAGAGAAGCCGACGGAAGGGTAGGAAGACGAAACGGAACGCGGGATAGGGGGAGGAAAGAGAAGAGGAGCGATGTGGGGGTGGCGGGTGCAGCTACGAGTCGGGCGCCGCAGTGTTTGTCAGTCCTTCGTATGGACATCACGTTCGACGAGACTGATAGTACCCGCCGGTATTGGTATCCGTATATAAGCCGTAATAACGCTTTTGGTGACATCCATCATCATCGATAGCCACCAACGTCGATCGCGCGTCAATTCAGCACCGTAGATGAACCCGCGGCTGCGGCACGCGCATCCGCGAACCCTGCTACCGTCGTTTCGCGCGTTTCGTCACTCTGTCGACGAGCGGACGAACGGCGCGGCGAGATCCTTACGGACAGTGGACGAGATGTGAAGACGTCGCCTTGGAAGCGATGTGGCTTCCGTTAGTGCTGCTCGCCTTGATGGCGAGCGGTTCCGCCTGTCCGTATCTCTGTGAGTGTCATCAGAATGACGTCGAGAAAAACGACGGGTCAACTTTGTTGGACGTGACGTGTCGCGAACGCGTACCCGGTCTATCGGAGTTATCCACAGTAGTGAGAAGTTTGTCGGTGGACAGCGCCGAGGGACCGGACGTTGATATCCTCCTAGATGAGCTGGAAGCCGCCGACTTAGTGAACGATCTCGGGATGAACGATGCTTCGAATAATCTCAAAGCGAATGACACCTCGAAGACGAACGACACGTCGTTGTCGTCGTCGTCGTCGTCGTCGTCGTCGTCGTCGTCGTCGGAAGAGCCGACAGGTACAACAGAGATTCTACCGTATTTGGTCGAGTTCACAGTGACAAATTGTTCGTTGGTGTCGTTGAATGCGTCGTGGCACGGTCTCGAGCGCTTGAGGTCATTAAATTTGTCGTGCAACAACTTGCCACGAATAAGAGACGTACTGGTGATCCGCGCGACGAATCTAAGCGAGCTGGCGTGCCTAGATCTGTCGGACAATTCGTTAATGGACATCAGTGTCAATTCTTTCAGGACGCTCGTCGGACTCGTGCGACTGAGTTTACGTAAAAACGCGATTGGCACAGTGGACGAGGGCGCGTTTCGCGGCCTCGATCGACTGGAATTTCTCGATCTATCGGACAACAGGTTGGCGGACTTGCCGGATAGCGCGCTCACGCCACTATACTCCCTGCAGAAACTCGATCTCAGCGGTAACCAGCTGCAAGTTCTGGGCGCCAGGTGGTTCGAAAGTCTCGACAGATTGAGGGAACTCGATGTTTCGCGAAATGGATTAGCCAGAGCGGCTTCGGGAACGTTGCAACCGTTATCGGGACTATCTATTCTAAGGCTAGCGGAAAATCCGCTAAAAGAGAGAGACGTATCTCTATTATTGGGTACTGGAAGGAGATTGGAGACGGTAGACGCATCCCGCACTGGATTAGCGCGAGTTCCAGCCGCTTTAACGAGATCGGTCAGAGCGCTTAGACTCGCTGGTAACAGACTGACTACCATTCGCAGCGGTGACTTGGATAGCTATCCTCTGTTGCGTATGTTGGATATTGCCGATAACCGTTTGATGGATATCGAGAACGACGCTTTGGGACGACTGGAGGTTTTAGAAGAACTCGATCTATCAGGAAATGTACTTTCGGAGGTACCGGATAGTTTACCGAGCAGTCTCGTGGTGCTTAAACTGCAGCAAAACACCATAACTGCATTGAAACTCGATGATCTCAATGGTCTATACAATCTGCGATCGTTAATGTTAAACGATAACGCCATCAGTGAAATCGATGTGGGCGCGCTCGGTCAACTGCCTTTGCTCGCCGAGCTGGATTTATCCAATAATCCTATCAAAGTGTTATCAACTAATACACTAAGTGGACCGAGTAATCTGACGAAGCTGCGAATGTCAGGACTAACCGCGCTTCAACGACATCAGGAAGAACAAAGCGACATGGCGTTTCCGGTACCGACTCCAGAACATTTGGTAATGTTAGATGTGTCGCGTAGTCCGGTTCTTGCTAGGCAGCTACTGGCGGACGATGCTGCACTGTCTGCCTGCAAAAGTCTGATAGAGCTGAACCTCTCGGCGACCAACATCAGCACCGTCAGATCCGACGTCGCGTACATGTTGCCGCAGCTGCGCGTTCTTAGACTCGGTAAGAACAATTGGAATTGCACGGAAGATCTCTACTGGTTGGGCGAATGGATCAGACAACACCGCGAACCGAATCAACAATACCAAACAGCGCGATGTTCAAATCCGCAGAAACTGGCGGGATTATTTTTGCACGAACTGCCATCGCCGTCAAATTTCATTTCCACAACCGCGGGAATCATCACGACAGCGGCTGCAAGCACCTCAGTTACCCTATCTGTCGTCTTCACGCTCGAACATACGTCGAATACTGATCGGCCAAACGTCACGGTGTCTTCCAATATCGAAAATGCGAATTCTGACGGTAACGTCACGGATCTTCTCACGCTATCTTCCGTAAACGCGAAAACCGAATCAAAAATGGTAGCTGACTCAGATTTTCTCTCTATCTCGGAAACCGTCACCGCGACGGCGTCATCGAAAAAAACACCGCGAGTCTATGAGGCGCCAACATCCTTCCGTAACGTAACGTCGTCAATCACGACGCGGACGAGCGGAGAACCGGATCGAAAGAGCGATAAAACAAATCGTATCTCGATGGATCAGAATTTAATCAAGCACATCGTCGTCCCAGCCTCTCGAGCACCAAACGACCCCAAGCTATCCATTATGAGAATAGAAGACGCGGAGTCGCGTTCGCAAACTTTCGATAACCGAGCCGACGGTGGGACGCGAAAAAACGGTAAGATGAGAAAAGTTGCCGCGTCAGGCGTCGGCGAAATCTTCTCGTCGGGGCCTTCGAACGTGGGAAGGAAAACGATCGAGAAGCACACGAGCAGCATGAGTAATGTGACGAAGGCAAACGCAGTGTTGGACGAGCGCGACTCGAAAACGATAGCGGAAGAATTGAACAGTCGAGTGACCGATTCCGGCGCTAGAGTATCGGAAGCTTTATCTGCTGGTGCCCATCCCGGAATGTTGGTGCTAGTCGGCGCGGCCCTCGGCGCCGTCGCGGCGCTGACCGTCGTACTCTCACGAAGAGCAACGGTGCACCGGACGGACAGGTATCATCGTCACGAGAATATCGAAGTGCACACTCTCACGCCTACTGCGGAGCTTTGGTGACCAGAGTCGGAACACGTCCGATTGTTTGAGAGAGATAGACGACTGGACGTCGAGAATCGTGACCGAGAAGCATCGACGCCGCCTCAACAGTCGACCAGTCCACGGTTGATCGATGTATGTTTGAGGAAGATTCTCAAATAACCAGCAGTACTACGACACGCATTCTGTTATTGCATCGACATCTAAATATGGATATACCAAGGAGAGGTACAATAACTAAAGTATTAATCAGAGAGTTGGGAAGATCCTCCTGACTGTGGAAGCCACGGGGAAAGGACGAGCGACTAAACGTCGAAGTTGGAAACGAGATATTCCGAGTTAATCCGTATCGCTTCGGAAACCGCCAATACGTCGCGGATTACTAGGGGAGAATATCGGGGGAAAAAATAAGAAATTATTATTCGAACGTGACATAAAACTTGTACTTGTCTGAAAAGAACAAAAGGGAGGCGGACAACTGTCGTGAAATTATCACGATTATCTGCACGTAAATCTGCAATACAATAATTAGGGACATATATTGATATAAATTCTATCAGATCTAAAGTTTACAGATATAAACAAGTGTTACTTATAAAATCAATCTCTGTAATCACGTATCTGGCTTATCGAGTTCTTTGAAAATCGCGTGTGGCTCAATATGTAAAGTCATCCAGATGTCGATAACGATATAGTATCTCTACTCGATGGAAAGAATACTCGACGACACTGTTCAAACTCCATCAACGGCGAAGATGTAGACGTCAAGTACTGTAACCAAGACGTTAAAAGCACGAGCGAGAATCACCACGTTATCTCATATAAATTCTGACATATACAAACACATCTGGTGCTGTACATGTCGTCCGTCGGGAAATACTGGACGCGTACGAACGAAAAACTCGGGGGAAAAGACTGTAAAAAAATTCGGAACTATTTCGACATACATCGCGGTGGATCAGCATCACGTAAAACCTCAATCCCCTTCGTAATAATTGTAGAAGGGAAAGTACGAACAAAAATTATATACGGAGTTATTTGCGTGAGAGAACTCAAAACCCATGAGATTGGGTTTGATATCTTCTAATTTCGGTATCGCACATATGCAATCATTGTAACGTGTCATAATCGAGTGGCAATAACCACAAGCGAGCGGATTTAACAATTAAGCTGATTGACTTGGAATCAGACCGATAAAATGGATACAGTGACAATAATAATGGTTACACGCCGCGTCTCAAGAGTATGGCTCTTTGCGGTACGCTCAATTCCTGAGAAGACTATATTGTGACTGAAATGAAGTGCGAGTGTAATAAAAGTAGGAAGAGAGTAAAAGGCTAGCAAAAGATAGAAAAACATGGACGTGGTAGAAAAGCAGGTAGGGCAACGCCGAAATGCAGAATGTAGGAGATGAAAAATTCGCGGTGGCAAATAGTATGCTTGAATGATAAAACCAGACGGGAAGCCAGAAAGAGTGTTAGACGGAAGAATTTTTATCAAATGGCATGTGCGTGTGTGAGAGATCGAGAGAATCGAGCGTAAGAGAAAAAGAGAGAAGGGAGATTAATTCGAGAAATCGTTCTCGAATGCAGCAAAACGGGATGTACAGAAATATTGCTTCCGTACTTAATTCCACTAAGCTTGATGAGATGTCAAGACTTCTCAACAAATACAAAAATAAAAGAAAAGATGTTTACGAGAGAGAGAAAGAGAGAGAGAGAGAGTGTGTATGTGTGTGTGTGTGTGTGTGTGTGTGTGTGTGTGTGTGTGTGTGTGTGTGTGTGTGTGTGTGTGTGTGTGTGTGTGTATGTGGCACACTAT